TGTCACTTTTTCATAGTGAAACATATTCATACCATACAACCCAGCAATTCCACTCCCAGGCATTTGTTTGGGGTTTTTTTGACAGAAAGTCTCAAGTGTTGCTCTGGGTAGAGTGCTATGGCGTCATAGCTCACAGCTACCTCCAACTCTTGGGCTAAATGATCCACCTGCCTCAGTTTTTCTATTTTTAGTGGAGACGGGGTCTCGCTTTTTGCTCAGGCTGGTCTTGAACTCGTGAGCTCAAGCAATCCACCTGCCTCAGCTTCCCAGAGTGCTAGGATTACAGGCATGAGCCACTGCACATGGCACCACTCCCAAGTTTTACTAAGACAAAAGAAAATTTAGGCTGACACACAAAACTGTATGCACTGTTTATAGCTGCTTCCTTCATGATAATTAAAACCTATAAACTCAAACATTCTTCAATGGTAAGTGAATAAACAAGCTGAGGTGCGTACACACAACAGAAAATGACTGAACAATAAAAAGAAATTACTGTACCGATACACAAGGTGGATGAATCTCAGAAGCATTAAAAGAAATTAAATAAACCAGACTCAAAAGGCTACATACTGTTAAGGTTCCATTTATAAGACATCCTGGAAAAGGTAAATTATACAAACACAAAATGGGTCAATGGTTGCTGAGGGCTGGCAATGGGAGAGGGGTTGACTACACAGAACAAGGAAATTTTAGGGTAGGAAGTGCTAGAACTGTTACATGTCTTTATTGTGGTGGTGGCAGATATATGATAGAGAGCATTTGTCAAAACTCATGATACACTAAAGAGTCAATTTTATCGTATATAGATGATTACTTAAGTATGAAAAAAGAATGTTAGCTTATGGGATTTTCATAAATGCCTTTAACCTTGAGAAATCTTTTCATCATGAATGGAGGCTAAATGTTAACAAATGCTTTCTCTAAATCTATTGAGATAATCATATATTCGAGCATAAGAATCCAGACACAAAAGAGTACATACTAAATCTATATGAAACTCAGGAATGGATTAATTGATTTATGATTTAGAAATCATAATATACTTGGTACTGTAGATAGAACTGATGAGAACAGGCATGAAACAAACTTTCTTGTTCAATAAAAATATTGTATACATTGATCTTAGTGATAATTACATAAGTGTATACATATGTCAAAATTCATGAAGCCATAGACTTGAGATTTATGCATGTTCCTGCATGCAAAAAATACCTCAATAAAGTACTGTTAGCATATAAAAATGCTAGTCACAAGCCACAGAGTTGATTTCTGGAACCACTAATGGGTTGTGACCTTTAGTTTGATAAATACTAGTCCATAGGGTCTGCAGGAAAGGGAAAATGAGCCCATATAACTTACATGTCTCCCAAGCCTTACAGAATTCTTCTTCTAAAAGCAATTTTATACAAATTTTTAGAAGCAAATGTAATAAAAATTGCAAATATGACAGTAATTTAAATATTATTGAAAACTTACAATGTATTAGGCACTGAAAAGGCAGAGTAGACTTGGCAGTCAATGAAGTCCCTCTCATTTTTTTAACTTGTATTTTAGTGGAATATAGAGTTTGGCATTTTCATCTTTATACTTCTGGTTAAGACCAATTCAGACTTATCCTTCCTGAGCTTCTCGTTTCCATGTATCTGCCAAAGATCAACGTTCTGAATGAAGTCTCTATGTCTCCACTCATGAGGATCCTTTGCTGTGTGGTCTACTGAACACTATGACATGTGGAGCTCCAGATGAAATACTCTTTTATGAAACAAATGCTTTGTCTCCTATTATGGCTCTGATAACTGTAATATTTGAACACCCACTTGAGATTTTTTTTTTTTGAGACAAAGCCTTAAGTTGTCATCCTGGATAGAGTGCTGTGGCATCACAGCTCACAGCAACCTCTAACTCCTGGGCTCAAGAGTTCTCCTGCCTCTGCCTCCCAAGTAGCTGGGACTATAGGCGCCTGCCACAATGCCTGGCTATTTTTTGTTTGTAGCCTTCATTGTTGTTTGGCAGACCCAGGTTGGATTCAAACCCACCAGCTCAGGGGTATGTGGCTGGTGCCTTAGCCACTTGAGCCACAGGCGCTGAGCCCACTCACTTGGGATATTAAAACATAATTTTATAGAGCTTCTTTCTTATGTGAACCCTCTGATGAAGGAAAGTCCTTCTCACCCTCTTCATCAGCATGGACTCGCTGATGAATTATAAGACTTGAGCTCCAACTAAAGCCCTTCCCACACTCTTCACATTTGTATGGTTTTTCTCCAGTGTGAACTCTCTGATGGGCTTGAAGGTATGAGCTCCAACTGAAGACCTTCCCACATTCCTCACATTTGTATGGTCTCTCTCCTGTGTGGACCCTCTGGTGGGCTTGAAGGTAGGATCTCTGTCTGAAGCGCTTACTACACACATCACATCGGTATGGTTTTTCTCCTGTGTGGACACCACGATGAGCCAGAAAATTTGAGGCCCGACAAAAGCCCTTCCCACACTCCTCACATTGGTATGGTTTCTCTCCAGTGTGGCACCTCTGATGGGCTTGAAGCTGTGAACCTACACTGAAGCCCTTCCCACACTCTGCACATTGATATGGTTTTTCTCCAGTGTGGACTCTCTGATGTACTTGAAGACTTGAGAATTGACTGAAGGCCTTACCACACTTCTCACATTTATAGGGTTTCTCTCCTGTGTGAATTCTACAGTGAACATTAAGATCTGAACTTCGACTGAAGCCCTTCCCACATGTACCACATTTGTATGGTTTCTCTCCAGTGTGACCTCTTTGATGGGCCAGAAGATTTGAGGCCTGACTAAAGCCCTTACCACACTCTTCACATTTATAGGGTTTTTCTCCTGTATGGACTCTAAAATGAATGTTAAAATCTGAACTACGACTAAAGCCCTTACCACAAGCATCACACTGATATGGCTTCTCTCCAGTGTGGCCTCTTTGATGATCCAGAAGGTTTGATGCCCGGCAGAAACCCTTCCCACACTCTTCACATTTGTATGGTTTCTCTCCAGTATGGCTTATCTGATGGGCTTGAAGATGTGAACCCACACTGAAGCCTTTCCCACACTCCTCACATTTATAAGGTTTTTCTCCTGTATGGATTCTACAATGAATGTTAAGATGTGAGCTATAACTAAAGCCCTTTCCACATGCATCACATTTGTATGGTTTCTCTCCGGTGTGGATTCGCTGATGAGCCTGTAGTCGTGAACGCCAAGTGAAGCTCTTCCCACACTCTTCACATTTATAAGGTTTCTTTCCTCTGTGGACTTTCTGATGGACTTGAAGATATGAACTCTGGCTGAAGTTTACTCCACACTCCCTACATTTATAGGGTTTCTCTCCCGTATGGACTATCAGAGAAGCTCGACAATGTGAACTTTTCCTAAGATTCCTTCTACATGCCTCATATTTGTATGAATTTTCCCCACTGGAAACTCTCTGATGATGAGGAGGATGTAACCTCTGACTGAAACCCTTATAAGATACATCATATTTGTATGACTTCTCTTTACTGTGGACTTTCTGATGAGCTTGAAGACTTGAAAATCGACGGAAGGCATTATCACATTTTTCACATTTGTAAGACTTCTCTCCTACATGAGCCCTCTGGTTAATTTGAAGGTGAAAGCTCCAATTGAAACTTTTTTCACACTCTTCCCCTTTGTAGGATTTTTCACTGGTATGTACTCTTTGATGAGCTCGAAGATGTGAAATCTGGTTACTGAATGCCTCATCTTCATAGAATACATCACCTTGTTTTTCCAACTGAGAGTCAGTTTCTTGAATGTTTACCATGGAATCTTGATACCTGGTTAACTCCCTTGTAACTTGTTGCCAGACTTGTGAGCAAAAAAGCTCTTCATGTGGCAGGCACCTTAATCCTACTTCTTGAAGAGTCTCCATCTCATTTAGATTCTTGCCTAAAAGGAAAAAGAAAATTTACAGACGGAGTACATAAGTGCTTTATTTAGAGAAATCAAGGTTATAAACTTAGCTAACAGCCTATGGCTTTACTGAACGAGAAGGAAAAGGTTCTGTCTGCATAATCGTTTATCATGTCATCTGATTTATATGCCCCAAGAAACCAAGAGGCAATCCACCAGGCTCCCATTCACTACACATTAATAAGATCCATTTAGAATTATATTAAATTTCTAATTGAGCTACAAGTTCGAAATTTGGTAGCTACAAAGAAAAAATTCTTCCTAGGAAATTTTTACTAAGAATTAGCACCATACTAAAGGTCTTACCTTTTGCTGAAGGAGGTGTCTAATAAATAGCTTCCACATAATTTTGCCTACTACATGGACATCTGAACAAAGCAGCCCTGCTAATAATGTCTAGTAAAACTACTACAGATTATCAGGAGATGTCCCAAAGCAATGTCAAAAACTTTTGCCTTGGATTTTTTTTTTTCCAGTTTGGACTAGGGCGGGCTTGAACCTGCCACCATCAGTATATGGGGCCAGCATTCTACTCCTTAAGCCACAGGTGCCACATCCCTTGGATGATTTAAAGTGAAGTTTACTCCAACATTAGGTACCTCTAAGACACGTACCAGATGGAAAGAAACATGTTTGGAAAAGAAAATACCTCATCATGTAAATGGTTAAAGTTTGAGCATAAACAGACAGTGGTCCGTAACCTCCTGCTGGGAAATACCCTCCAGGAGAACAACTGGGAGAAGAAGTTTGTGGTAATAATAAGCATTATACTAAAACCTGATCATAATTAAAGCTTCTATAACCTCCAGGTGAAAAATTAGAATCTAATCTTTAGAACAGAACAAGAACTTGTGAAGAGGAAAAAGTAGGGCAAGAGTACAAACCTCAAATTCCAAACTGGACAGAAAGAGTTATGTTCTCCTTGGAACTCTGTTCCACCAATTAGCATTGTGGCTTGTTTCTCACTTCTGATTCAGGTCTCTTTTCAAATAATTCCTTAACAGTGAGTCCTTTTTTGCCACCAAACATCAAATAGTAAATTCTTCCCTTGTACCATACACGTGTTTGAAGACTTCTATTCACCTGTTTTGTTTTTACACAATACATATTACCCTCTGACAAACTATATGTGTGTATATCTTTTATCTTTATGACTTTATTCCCAAGATGACAAGCATTTTATACATGTTATCATTCACTGCTTTATCACCACTCCAAGAACACTGCCTGACACCTAGTGTTCAACAAATATGTTAAAAAAAAAATGAATCCCAGTTTAACTTCCCTGAGGGACTTAGAGCCAAGTTACAAAAGTAAAAGAGCTTTTTCAGGTAAGCTATCCATAACAGCAAAGGGAATGGAAACACCAAGTGCCGGGAAGTTGGAAGACTTCACTTGATGCAGGGTGAAGTTAAATGAATGCTGCTGTTAAGAAAATCATGCTGATCACAAAATCATGGTAAGAATTACTTGAGAGAAAAAAAGCCACTTTTAAGTGGCATGTGGCCTATGAATTTATTGTTTCTGAAAGTTTTGATTTTTCCCCATCCTTCTCTGTTTGAAATTTTTCCTTTTTCAAGTGGAAGTCAACTCAGGAATGTCTCTGAAAGCAGACTGTAAAAACTGATGCAAGTAGATAAATTTTCCTATATGGACCACTGGTTTTCAAACTGAAGGCTGAGACTCATTAGTGAGTTTCAAATAAATTTAGTAGATTGTGACAAGCATTAACAGAATTTTAAAAAATAGAGTTGCTTTGTAAGCAGTAAAGGCATCTCTTTGCATAAATGGTGGTTTAAAACTACATAAATATACATGTATATTTGTATTGTTTATGATATAAAATGTATTTCTTACTGTGAACACATGAAAGCCACTAAGCTAAATGATTAAGAAAGACAGTTATTCCTCAAAGAATTAAATTGTCCAAATGGAAAATTATGTTGTAATGATAGAAACTTGAAAAATATGATAAATGTGTTTCTCTTAAATTCATACCTGTATGGCATGTTGCTTCTCTATACATTTTTCAAGTTATTACTTTTAATAATTGATTTTTAATAAGTGATTTTTGGTGTCTTTGTGAGCAATTTCCTAATTCTGCCCATTCAGTTATAATGTTTTTCATTCAAAACGATATGTTAGGCCTTTATTAGAATGAAGCTAAAACTGTCTAAAATCTACCTTCTTTAACATGTGTTTATTTAATGGCTATCTTATCTTCTATAATATTTGTTTAGTGGCTAAGTGTGCAGAAAACAAAGACATGGTTGTATACAGCACATTTTTTTTTTTTTTGAGACAGACTCATACTATGTCACCCTCGGTAGTGTGCCGTGGCATCACAGCTCATAGCAACCTCAAACTCTTGGGGTTAAGCAATTCTCTTGCCTCAGCCTCCCAAGTAGCTGGGACTACAGGTGCCTGCCACAACCCCTAGCTATTGCAGTTGTCATTGTTGCAGTTGTCCTTGTTGTTTAGCAGGCCTAGGTCGGGCTCAAACCCACCAGCCTCGGTGTATGTGGCCAGTGCCCTACCCACTGAGCTATGCCAATATACACCATATTATTGAATTTTTTTTTTTTTTTGAGACAGAGTCTCACTTGGTCACCCTTGGTAGAGTACCATGGAGTCATAGCTCCCAGCAACCTCAAACTCTTGGACACAAGCGATTCTCTTGCCTCAGCCTCTCAAGTAGCTGAGACTACAGGTGCCCACCAAAACGCCTATTTTTCTTTAGAAACAGGGTCTCACTCTGGCTCAGGCTGGTCTCAAACCTATGAGCTCAGGCAATCCACCCACCCCAGATCCCAAGTGCTGGGATTATAGGCGTGAGCCACCACACATGGCCTGTACACCATATGTTTGAATGTGGATGACTAAAATGATAGGCAACATTCTTTGCTTTAACTGTCTTCAGAATAGATAGATGGCTGAATATCCTTATAGTGAAACACTCAAGATTTTTCTTTCCTTATGTAGAGATATTTCCTTTTCTTTTCTTTCCTTTTTTTTTTTTTTTTCATGTTAGAATCTTTTCCTCCCCCCAGGTTAATGTGAAGGTACAAACAATAAAATCACAAAATTTGAATTTGTTATGTAGAGTCCCTTTTATAGTTTTGTCCTGCACCCAAAAGGTTAGACATTTTCTTTTATATGGTATCTACCTAAAAATTAGCTAAAACAATCTCTTCTAAAAAGCAGTTTTTCTCCAAGTGAGTATGATTCATTACTAAAGGGTACAGGAAAACCACGAGGAAACATTTGACTTGATTACAACAGAAAACCTAACGTAAGCTTTCATTAGATGTGGATGCTATGGTAGCAATACGTGTGCCCCCCGCAATTCATGTGCTGAAATTCTAGCTCCCAAGGTAATGGTATTAGGGAGGTGATTAGGTCATGAGTGTGGAGCTTCATGAATGGCATTAATGCCCTTATAAACAAGGCCCAAGAGAGATGCCTCACCCCTTCCTTATGAAGACACAGTGAGAAGGTGTTGTTTGTGAATAGAAACTAGGCATCAGAAACTGTATCTGTTGGTGCCTAAACTTGGACTTCCCAACCTCCAGAACTGTCAGAAAAAAATTTCTGTTGTTGGCTGGCCAAGGTGGCTCATGCTTGTAATCCTAGCACTCTGGCAGGCTGAGGCAGATGTACTGCCTGAGCTCAAGAGTTGGAGACCAGCCTGAGGAAGAGCCAAACCCCCATGTCCACTAAAAACAGAAAAAATTAGATAGGCATCATGGCAGGTGGCTGTAGTCCCAGCTACTCAGGAGGCTAAGGCAGGAGGATCACTTGAGCCAGGAGTTTGAGGTTGCTATGAGCTATGATGACACCATGGCACTCTACCCAGGGCAACAGAGTGAGACTCTGCCCCCCCAAAAAAGAAAAAATAAAGAAAATTTCTGTTGTTTATAAGCCACCTAGTCTAAGGTATTTTATTATAGCAGCCTAAATGAACTGAGACAGTGGATTAACAGATATATATCTACATAGAAACAAAAGCATCTAATATATTAAAATCAGATTAGACATTCATCAGAGGAAAAAACTGTTCTAGTCTATGCCTTCATCATACTGTTTTGTTTACCATTCTTTAAGTATCTTTGGGACTAATGGAAAAAAGTCCTTGTGACCATTATTAACTTGTTCAACAAATATTTACAGTACATCTGCACTCTGCCAAGTCTGCTCTGTACATTGACACTACAGCAATAAACAAAACAGACAAAATTTCTCCTGTCCTGAGATTATGTCCTAGTGTGAATATAATTATATAAATAAATAAAAATATCATATATGTTTATATAGTAAATAGTATCAGTGCTCAGAAATAAAATAAAAAAGGGTGGGGAAGAGGGAGCAAAGGAAGGAGGAGGTGTAATTAAAGAGGATCATGGGAGGCCTTTGTTATAATGTTACATGTGAGGAGTGATCTCAATGAAATAAGGGATGACAGAGTAAAAGCCCAGTCATGACAGAATGAAGCTCAATTAATGGGTGATGAGGCAGAAACATCCTTGGCCAGTGTGGATGAAACTGACTGACAAGGAGGGAAAATTCATAGGTCATATTTACAGAGGGATGAAGGAAGAGGGAAAAGCAGACATGTGGGACATTATAAGCACTTTAAGTACCTGGATTTTATTCTGGATCAAGAGGCTATTGGAGGTTCTGAGCAGAAAATGATGAGATCTAACATTAAAAACAATCAATTCAAGTGGAGAATCAACTATAAAAGAGCAGGACAGAAAAATGAGAGTAGTATAGAGATTGCTGTAGTAATCCACAGACTAGGTTCTGGCTTAGGCCAGCACTGAAGTTCTGGAGGAGATGAGAAGCAGGATAGACTCAGAGTCACAGGGTCCTCACCTGAGGAGTGATGGCTCTGGGTTGCCATCTTCATCACCCAAAGCTTTTCTTCTCTCTCTAACTGTGATACACCATCTGGTTTGAAGGATGGGTATCCTGTGAAAAGGCAAAGACACATACTTACAATTAATATATTGTTCAAATTACTAAAATTGTTCTTATTTCATCATCTTCAAGACATCAAAATTAGCTTTTTTCAAATTTTTAATCATGAGTCACTGAAGGAAATATGTTCTATGCAAATATCCAACATATGCAGACATAGTATAAACTCCTGGAAATAGGTGTTCTCATCATACCCTCTCCATGGTCTCTCATACTCTTCTTGACAATAGGCCAGAGAATTTTGCTACAATGTGCAGTTTTTGTCAAGAGCTCTGATATTTTCTATTATATCTCATAATAAAATGATGGTACAATTCCCTACCATGGCCCACTAATTGGAGATGACCACAATTTGAAAAAGGATAACACAAGAGTAGTCACACTGTCAATTTATGGTTCATTAACAAAATACACACTTTAATCGGGAAGAGAGCTTTAGAAAAACTCCCAGAGGTGCCTGTGGCTGAATGAGCAGGGCACTGGCCCCATATACTGGAGGTGGCAGGTTCAAACCTGGCCCCAGCCAAAAACTGTAAATAAAAATAAAAATAAAAAATAAACTCCCTATCGGACTTGTGATGATTAGAAAACTGAAAACCTGGCTAGGTACCTATAGTTCAGTGGCTAGGGTGCCAGCCATATACACAGGAGCTGGTGGGTTCAAATCCAGCCCAGGCCTGCCAAACAACAATGACAACTACAACCAAAAAATAAAAATAGCTAGGTGTTGTGGTAGGTGCCTATAATCCCAGTTATGTGGGAGGCTGAGGCAAGAGAATTGCTTAAGCCCAAGAATTAGAGGTTACTGTGAGCTGTGATGCCACAGCACTCTACTGAGGGTGACAAAGTGAGACTCTGTTTAAAAAAAAAACAAACAAAAAAGAAACTGAAAACCCATTCAAGAGCTCCAAACTCCTACACACCCAACGACACAGAGAACTAGAGGGAGCTGATGTTCAGCCAGAGAGTACCTATCCTTACCCACTGAGATCACGTTCCTAAAATTCTCCAGCATGACGTCTTGGTAGAGCTTCCTTTGGGCAATGTCCAGCAGTCCCAGCTCCTCTTCAGTAAAGATCACAGCCACATCCTTGAAGGTCACTGCAATCTACAACATCAAATAAACTGCACCTAAATCTTGCAACAAAGGTCTACTAAAACAAAGGTAGCACTGAGAAGAAAGGAAAAGATGTGAGGAAGTGCTTTCGGAGTCTAAGAGACCACAGACAACTTTAATATTGTTAAACATTCCAAATAATGTACATTATGTTTTAGGTTTTTCCTTTTCATACTAACTGCTGAAAAGAACAACGTTTTACAAAGATATTAGCCAACCTAATAGTCTAATTATTTTCTTAGGATAAGTTCCAAGAAGTGAAAACCGCAATGTCAAAGGATATGCAACTTCCGGCTCGGTGCCTATAGCCCAAGTGGCTAAGGTGCCAGCCACGTACATCAGAGCTGGCAGGTTCGAATCCAGCCCAGGCCTGCCAAACAACAATGACAACTATAACCTCCCAAGAAAAAAAAAAGTCAGGCATTGTGGTGGGCACCTGTAGTCCCAGCTATTTGGGAGGCTGAGGCAAGAGAATTGCTTAAGCCCAAGAGTTTGAAGTTGCTGTGAGCTGTGATGCCACAGCACTCTATCCAGGGTGACAGCATGAGGCTCCGCCTCAAAAATTAAAAAAAAAAAAAAGGGCTAAGTCCTCTGACTGGAGAATTCTTTTCCCTTCCCTCTCTCTCTTTTATCCAAATAACAATCCTAGGAGTCTTTCTGAGTTAGCTGGATCTTTGGTTTCCTGAGTGAATGTAAGCAGTCTTTTGCAATTCTGCAATTCTATCTCTTTGTAATTAAAATGCATATGAGACCAAGTACTGCCTCATAAGGTTGGTCTAAGGAATATACGCAGTAAGAAAAGTAAAGTACTAGGCAAGTCTTCTTGTACTACTGAGCTTTTAAAAGTAAGTATATTACTTTAATAAAATAATATACAAATTAAAAAATCCAAATAAGTAAATAAACACAGCCAAGTTATGACTCAGGTATGGATAAAAAAAAATCTAGCTTTCTTTTTTTTTCCTTTATTTAACAGATTGGTCATTATTTAACATTATTATTTAATGGTAATTAAATGGTAATGGTATCATTAACGGTAATTAATGTTAACCAATATTTAACATTATTGGTCATTAGAAATGTGCCCACCACTTTTCTAAGCACATGTCCTCCTTAGCCTTACATTTTAGTGGACAATAAATGGAAAGCATAGTCAGAAAAATATGCCTTAAGTTCTAAGTAGGTAAGTGCTATGGAGTGATACATACTCATACATATGTTTATAAACATCGCATCAGATCAATAGCTTAGGAAGCTTCTGGTGTGGAGGGAACATCTTGCAGGGGAATTTTTCCATGCATCTCCAGGTGGCAGTGGTATGTGGATGACCGGCGGTAGCTTCTGTGACAAAGGGAACATGTACAGGGCTTCTCTACTGCGTGGATTCTCACGTGAGCCCACAGGTTGGTTTTGTGGCTGAAGGATTTTTCACACACGCTGCATACAAAAGGCCTTTCTCCTTTGTGAATTATCTGATGCACACATAGGTCTGATGTCTGGAAGAAGCCTTTGTGACACTCAGACAAATGGCCTCTCGCTCTTGTGTCTTCTCAAGGGCTAACAAGTGATAGAGATACTTAAAGATCTTGGGACATTCCTCACATTTATATGATTTGGGGGCTCCAGGGGAATCTTTCTTGGTGTACCCCATATGTGGAGTTTCCCCACTTCTCTGATTGATAGGGACAGGCTCAGGGGCAGACTGGTCTGGCTTAGAAAGAAACCCTGTTCCTACTTCCATAGGGACATCTTGATAAAAGGATCCCTTTAGGGGCCCTTCCTGAGACCTGGAAATGCTCATCCCTGCTCTTCTCAAGTTTTGTGGGTTCTCACAAAAGACATCTTCATCTTCAGGCCAAGGACCATTCTCTTCCCAAATAACAAGTAGGGAAGATGTTTGATTGCCTTGACTAGTACTGCCATTTACTTGAGTAGTTTTCAAAGAAATGTTGCAGCCATATTCTTTTTATTTTATTTTTTATTTTTTTGCAGTTTTTGGCTGGGGCCGAGTTTGAACCCACCACCTCCGGTATATGGGGCTGGCACCCCACTCCTTTGAGCCACAGGTGCTGCCCTGCAGCCATATGCTTTATCTTCTTGTCTCCGTCCTGTTTCCAAGGGGATATCATGGGGAGTCTGGAAGGGGACCTTCATGTTCTCTTCTGTTAGGGTTCTTGCTGATGACTGTTTTGTAAGATATACAATGACTTCTTTCCAGGGCATATTCTCAGAAAAGAGAGCCTCTTGTCCCTGCTTGCAGACATGGACTAAAACAGGCTCCTTCATGCAATCATCAGTCATATTCTCCATAAATTTCTCCAGGTTTCTGCCACTTGATTCCCATTTCTCTTTCAAAGTAGACCTGTCATTACAGTGTCCAATAATTACAAACTGTTCCAGGACCAACTGAGAAATAATTTCATCCTTGCTGTGCTTTTCTGGTTGCAGCCATGAATGAAAAAACTTGCATATTTTTTTCAATTCCTGCCTTGCACATGAGTTATTGCTGTTTTGAAATGAGCTGAGTTGAGTGCTTGAAAACCCAGAAATTCCTTCTCCGTTATTGATAGCAAGTCTTCTTTGGGTTGGTTCAAATTCTAGATTTTCTGATCCAAGATCATTCCCAGATGGTTCACACTGAAATGAGGTTCTGGGATCTAAAGCTATTCTTAGCAAAAGTTCTCAGAGAGTCAACATTGATACACCATTCACTTTCTGGTGTCTTATGTCTCTGGAGATCTGTTTCAACAATTAGTGGATTCTTAAAGACTTCTTTGCACTGAGCTTCAAAGTGGGCAATACTGAGCTGAAAACTGAGCTGATGTGTGGCTGGCTTTCCTCCCTGGGCTCATCCCAAAATCTAGTTTTCTTATGTGAAAATATCTAGTAATATTTTCTCTCACCAGCTAGTCTGATTGCATCATGTCATATTTGAATATTTTATACAAAATATAGTAGAAATACAAAATACCACCTCCCTACAGTATCCACCTCCTTACACTGACCTAATTTTCACAGTCTGGACAGACATGTATCATATGTAGTATCAGTACAATAGGCCTAGTTCCTTATGTTGACTATCTCCTATGTTAACTAGTTTGTTATAGTCCCTTAGGGGATCAACTTACAGAGGTTTTACTGTGCTTAAAATACCACTAAGCTAGGTGGTCGTTGTGGTGGGCACCTCTAGTCCCAGCTACTTGGGAGGCTGAGGCAAGAGAATTGCTTAAGTCTAAGACTTTGAGGTTACTGCAACACCATGGCGCTCTACCGAGGGCAACATTATGAGACTCTGTCTTAAAAAAAAAACAAAAAAAACACATATCAAGAGTACTTTTTCAATTTAGTGTTCCTAAAACATTGGGTATATTTTTATTAAAAATTGTTTTTTTCTCTGTAACAATTTCTATCTTAACAATAGTAACAAATAATAATAAAACTTCTTCAAATTCCTGTTTGGAGAAAATGGTTATAAAAATTACATAAAATTACTTGTAAGTCCCTTATCTCACACACGTACCAAAGTACATCAATTCAAGGAAATATAATGTAACCATTAAAAATGTAGGGTATATACTATTAATGAGAAAAGGCATAATTTGAACATTTTATATATACAATGATTACAAATATACAGATGAAAATGCATATGAAAAAAGGAACATGGAAAAATAAAAAGCTATTTTATAAGGGAAATAATAGAAAAATGAGAGACTTTTATCCTGTTATAGACTTTTCTACTCTATGCTTATTCATCAAATTATAAAGTCATAAAACAAAAATTAAACTACACTAAAATACAAAGTAGCAAGCATCTGGTTCTCAAATGCCTACTATTCTCCTTTATCCTTCCCAAGAAAGAAAACAAGATGTGTGTAATCTTTGACAAATGAGATAACAATTAAAACCTAGAAAAGGAAGCAGAACTCACCTTGGACTTAGTCATTTTGTCCTCCTCCTCTTGGTGAAGGGTGGAGCCTTAGGAAGGCATATTAGGGAAAGAGAAAAAAAGCTATGAGTTTGGCCAAAGATATTACTAATCCATATGGCTGTTTTACGTGAAACAGCAACCCTGTATCTTCCTTGGGGTGGCTTGATAAATAGAGTGTAGGCTGGATTCCAATCACCACTTGCCACTTTGGCTGTGAGACCCCTGGCAGTGAGCAACCTGCCTAACCACCCACAATGTTCCCCTAACACAAGTTCTCCTTGTGACTTTCAGGATATGACTGATTCCAGAGAGAGTAGAAATTGATGGTAAAGTGCAGGTGAAGAGAATCATCTCTGGAGCCAAATGTCTAGGTTCCTGACACTGCTAATCATTAACTGTGAACTCTTGGACAAATTATTAACATCTTTGTTCCTCAAGTTTTCATCCATAAAATGGGGAGACTAACAAGGAAAAAATTAATAATCCCATAGGATTGTAGTAAGATTGAAACGAGTAGGGAGAAAGTTCGGAAACACTTTCAGGGTACCTTATTTCTTATTTGCAGAAAAGCAGGTAACATTCAGTAACATAAAGCTTGTCCTTATAAATGGTTTCTATCACTGAAGCCTAGAGTTCACTCACTCCTCTCTGCATCATTCTTTCAGGAGTCAGGGCAGGGTAAAGAAAGGAAGCTGGGAGACTTTGTCTGTGGTTCAAGAAAACCCACATAAGACATCCCCAGACTCCATCTCTGAGTGATGCATTCTTCCATAAAAACAGGTCAGTAGTAGTCCAGGAACAGCCTCCTTTCCTGCAGAGAGCAGAAAGAGCTAGTGATACTTCGAGGAGCAATACTCATCAGGATAGTAGGCTAGTAATAATAGGAACAGTCAACATGTTGCCACAGGTCTGCACTGTCATTTTACGTGTACTATTATATCACTCTCGAAAGAAATGCATATGGTCGGAACTCGTAAAGATTCCCTTTTACAGGAGAGGAAACTAAGGCACAGAAAGATTATAAGTGCTCATCCAACGTCATATCGTTAACAAGGTGAGGGAAGGCTGTTTGGGCAGCGCAGAGCCGGGGAGACAGTCAGACGCTCACCATCCAGGTCCGCCTCCAACCTGGGTACGCGCGAACCGCTGGAAGCGCAGAGGCTCCGGAGAGAGGAAGGCAAGCAGCCGCCCCGGCCCCTCAACTCCGCCTTCTGCTGTAGCCGCCAGTTCTCCTCCTAGTGACGGAGGCGCGGGCCCGCTGTCCCTACGACCAGGCTATAAAAGTTAAAAGAGGTCGTGGGGTCGCGAGGTTCACTCACCTCCCCTGATCAGAGGAACAGAGGCCGCACTCACAACCTCTCGCAGCGGAAATGCCTGGGACTATGGGGGCACCGGAACTACATTTCCCAGGATCCCCCGAGACGCCCGAGGCTGCTGCCCCGCCCCTCTAAGACGGAAATGCTGGCGCCGGCACTCAGAGCCTGAATCGTGTATCCCAGGTTCCCCGAGGAAAGCGGGGTTCTCCTTCACGCAGCCAGGTGGTCTAAATACGGCCAAATACAGAGCACTGGATTATACTTTCCTATTGCCTCAGTACGGCAAATAACAAAGCTACGCTTTCCTGGAGCGGAAGTGTTCCAACCACAGAAAACGTCTGGACTTCACGTTCCGGAATTCTCTGTAATGCAGAGCTTCCAGCCAGACTACAGTTTCCCTTTTGAATTAGCGGGTGGAGTCTCAATCAGTGCTTGTAGAACTCAGTCTGCTTTTACCTTTGTCACGTGGCAGAAGTTAGACTATATATTTATACATTATATGTTTATATAGTATATCACATTTTTATATATCACGTATACTTAACATATGTTGTATGCTTACATAATACAGATTTATATATTTTATACATTATATATTTGTATATTATATATTTACACATTATATATATTTATAATATAAAGGAAAGTAATTATAAAGGAATGCTACATGACCTAAAAATAGAGATAATAAAAGGAAACAGGCTGATCAGGACTGAGCAAGTCTTCTTTATAATATAGGCCTGGATTCACCTGTGACTAAGACATACAAAAAAGGAGTTGCAACCATGGAGCAGTTGATGAAACATAAGCAGCAAAATTCTCAGCTTTTTGCTTTAGCTTTCGTGCATGCACAGGGAATAGTAAAATACAGAATGGTATAGGCTCCATTCTATATAAAATCTTTTAAAAATTTCTTTGAGTTCAAATTAAGGAGTCATATTATCTCTTTCCTACTTTTTTTTTGTTGTTGTTGAGACAGAGTCTTACTGTGTCACCCTCGGTAGAGTGCTGTACCCTCACAGCTCACAGCAACTTCAAACTCTTGGGCTTAAGTGATTAGTAGCTGGGACTACAGGTTGCCCACCACAACACCTGGCTATTATTTATTTATTTATTTATTTATTTTTTGGTTGCAGTTGTCATTGTTGTTTAGCAGGCCTGGCCAGGCTTGAACCCACCAGCTTTGGTGCCAGTGTCCTACTCACTCAGCTACAGGTACCGAGCCTCTCTTTCCTACTCTTATAAATCAAGAATCCATTAAAGTGTCTTATGAATCAACAAATCAGTGTAAACTAGGATAGGTCTGATTATTGAGTAAGGGGAGGGGGTCAAGTGAGGGCTGAAGTCATGAAACTAGCAAAAAAAAAAAAAATGCAGAAAGCTATGCTATCCTCTTTTCTCTAAGATAGAAACTAAGTGTTTTCCAGCTTTATTATGTTATTATGTTTCATAATAATATGTATGAAACATAACATAAAGTTTATGTTATGAAACATAACAATGTAAAGGGGAGAAAAAGAAAGTTAACTACAAAAAAGAAGCTGTAAATATTTGAACAATGTTTAACTGAACCTATCTTAAATTCATGATAAATACTCTCTGTACCTTAAGAGAGAAAACATTTTTTAAAAAATGAGAGAAATGTAGTGGCTCTCACTTGTAATGCTAGCACTCTGGGAGGCAGAGATGGGAGGACTGCCTGAGCTGAAGAGTTGGAGACTAGCCCAAACAAGAAGGACATTCTGTCATTACTAAAAATAGAAAAACTACATGGGTGAAGTGGGGGTGGGGGGACGCCTGTAGTCCCAGCTACTCTGCTACTCTCAAAGCTGAGGCAACAGGATGACTTGAGCCCAAGACTTTCAGGTTCCTGTGGGCTAAGTTACCAGAGCACTCTACCCAGGGTGAATGAGTGAGACTTTGTCTAAAAAAAAGAGAGAGAGAGAGAGAGAGAAATAACAATTTTTTAAAGTCAGGTCTTAAATGCTAGGAGTCTAAAGAATCATATGATTCCCTACTTAATATTCTCCTTCTTCTTAAAACAAAACAGATCAAAAGGTAACCAAAGATTAAAGGTGAAAGGAGAGGTAGACTTTCTAGCATAGATTTAAACTCAGCCCCAAATAATCCCTGAAATTGTATTAAGGTGATCCTGTATTTCAAATTGCCTAAGAAATCTGGCTGAAGAAAATTAAAATCCCAATAGACAAAGATAGTATTTTCTCAGGTCACAACTTACTTACATAATTTTTGAAAAACATAAAAATATTGTACAAGGTCAACTTTAGATTTTAATAAAAGCAATACTTTGGATATTAAAGGATACTTCTAAATGATTTAAAAATTCTATTTCTGGCTCAGCACCTGTGGCTCAAGTGGCTAAGGCGCCAGCCACGTACACCTAAGGTGGCGAGTTTGAATCCAGCCCAGCCGGCCAAACAACAATGACGGCTGCAACCAAAAAATAGCTAGGTGTTGTGGTGGACACCTGTGGTCCCAGCTACTTGGGAGGCTGAGGCAGGAGACTTGCTTGAGCCCAGGAGTTGGAGGTTGCTGTGAGCTGTGATGCTACAGCACTCTACCCAGGGGGATAGCTTGAGGCTCTGTCTCAAAAATAAATAAATAAATAAATAAAAATTCTGTTTCTTCAAGAATGTAACACTGTGTGCACCTAAAAAAAAAAATCATCAAATATTTCAAGAAAAATCAGAATTACAAAGAAAAACAGACACAGCAAAGTGAGAAATTTTCAACACATCTCTCTAACAAAACAAAGCAGACCAACAACATCAGTAAGTACTTGGAAGAATTGACCTATTAGAAACTAGAATAATTATTATATATAAAATGCTTCACCCAGAAACTGTTGACTATCTTTTCAAGAACACATGGAATGTTTACAAAAACTGAGCAGATGCTGGACCAGAAAAGCAATAACATATTTAAAAGAACTAAAATAATAAATAGGAGATTTTCTGGCTGTAATGCAGTTAAGCTCAAAATTAATTATAAAATGGTAACTAGATGTGTTCATCATGTTTACATGGAATTCTCTTTTAAATAAAATCACAAAGCATGAAAAGATTCCAATGGAAACGAAAATACATTTTTAAACCAAATGGTAATAAATACAATATATATCAAAATTTACAGGATGCAATGAACCTTCCAGGGCTAAAAAATCATAAGAGAATGGTCTAAGACAGTGGTTCTCAACCTTCCTAATGCCGCAGCCCCTTATTTTATTTTATTTTATTTTTTTTGAGACAAAGTCTCAAGCTGTCACCCTGGGTAGAGTGCTGTCGCATCACAGCTCACAGCAACTCTGACTTAAGTAATTTTCTTGCCTCAGCCTCCCAAGTAGCTGGGACTAGAGGCGCCCACCAAAATGCCTAATTTTTTTTTGTTTTCTTTTGGTTACAGTTGTCATTGTTGTTTGGCAGGCCCAGGCTGGATTTGAACCCACCAGCTCTGGTGTGTGTGGCTGGTGCCTTAGCCTCTTGAGCTACAGGCACTGAGCCAACTGCAGCCCTTTAATACAGTTCCTGTAGGTCGCAACCCACAAGTTGAGAATTGCTCATCTAAGAGGTTAGAAAAAGCAAATTAAAGAAAAACATTTTTAAAAGAGCAAATAAATGAAATAGAAAAAAATAAAGGAGAAGATTGAAATGTTTTTTGAAAAGAAAACAATTAATAAAAACTTTTTTTTTGAGACAGTCTCACTCTGTTGCTCAGGCTAAACTGCCATGGGGACAGCCTAACTCACAGCAACTTCCAACTCCTGG